AATGAAAATGTTTACATTTGATCAAAGTGAGGAAGTATTGCCTCCTGAAGAAACATAATCAAATTCTGTTTTCATTTTTGATGATGTGCTAACAGAATCGCAAGATGTTATAAGAGCCTATTTTTCACGAGGAAGACATAATAATACAGATTTAATTTATTGCGCATAAATTTGCAGCTTTCTGGACAAAAGTCTACTGCGGGATAATGCTAACTTTATTATACTGTTTAAACAAGACAAGACAAATTTAAAACATATTTTCAACAACCACTTAGCTTCAGTTATAACGTATAATCAATTCAAAGAACTTTGCATAACTTGCTGGAACTTGGACAAGTACAAATTTGTAGTCATTAGCAAGAACGATGAAAGAGACAAAGGTCGATTTAGGTTAAATTTCGACACCTTCATTAGTATATAGTCTATGATTTTTTATTTATCGTATGCATTTATTCGATAATCATGGTTCAAGAAAGTTATGTATTACTGAACGAGTTAATACGTGCAAAAGAAAATATAAAACATAAATATAAAGAATTGAAAGAAAACGATATTAATACCGAAAAATTTAGAACCAGTGATAAGTCCACTTGAAAAATTAGTGAGTACAAAAACAATATGAAAATTATGACACAAAAACCGAGGAAAATGTTAAAATAAATACAGAAGCACTAAATGAGGAAGAAAAAATACAACAAAATACTACGATAAGTTCATGATTCAAATCTCAAAATTTGGATAAAACACATGGTCCTGTAAAATCACGTGGTAGTAAGATAAAATTAGGTTGGGTTGGGTTGGTTTCTACGTTTCCATTAACAAGCGGTATTGTTCAGTTTTTGTTCTCCAAAGACCCGATAAATTATACAAACTGATATGCAAAATTATAAAAATATGTTAATACTTACAACAGCTCATTTGAACAAGCAAAAATCTAATTTAAAGAAAGCCGGTAATAAGTATAAAACTATTATTGCACCATTGTTCGATAATGGAGAAGGTTTTACATTAATTTTACAAAAAAACGCTCATAAAACTTTTAAATTTTGGAATGATCCAAATCAGTTAGTCAACAAACTAAAATTATTATTAGCGTCAAGAGCCGCTGGCAATACGGGTGTGCTAAATTCAATCACGTCAATTTGGCAGCAATTATTAGAAGCAGGAATTATAAAAAAAATCCCAAATGTCTTGACTGGAAATCGCTACTGCACTACAAAAACAGGCAAGACGAAATTATCCTCGAAGAATATATAATGTATATGATAAAAACGATTTATTTCAAGCTGACTTCATAGAAATGATACCCTTTTCTCGTCACAATAAAGGTTATAAATACATTTTATGTGTTATAGGCTATTTTACTAAATTTGCATGGGCTAAACCGTTAAAAACTAAAAAAGGTAAAGAAGTCACCGAATCTATTTCCAAAATACTTGACGATCGTAGGCCTAAGTTTTTACAAGTTGACAACGGAACTGAATTCTATAATAAAAATTTTGATGAGATTTTAAAAAAGTACAATATTAAAAGATACTCAACATTTTCAACAACTAAAAGTTGCATGGTAGAACGGTTTAATCGTACATTAAAAAATAAAATTTATAAACAGTTTACTGCGCGTGGCTCTAACAATTGGATAAGTATTTTACCGACTTCAATGCGAGAATACAATAACTCACATCACCGAACAATAAACAGCACACCCGCAGAAGCAGACTCTACCCTACTATCTATAAAACTACATCAACGTAATATTAAACAGGGAGTTAAAAAAATTTTAATTGGAGATAAAGTGCGTATAAGCATATACAAGGGTATTTTTACTAAAGAATTTTTACCAAACTGGTCGACTGAAATTTTCACTATATCAAAAATAAACAACACTAAACCGTATACATATAAATTGAAGGATTATAGAGGTAACGATATTACAGGTGGTTTCTAAGCTGAAGAAATTAGTAAAACTCATTTTCTAGACGATTTTTTAGTCGAAGAGATAATTCGTACGAAAGGTGATAAATTATATGTAAAATAGTACGGCTTTAAATCTACAGAAAATAGTTGGATAAATAGTTCAGAACTTAAAAAATAATATCAGTTTGAACATATACACGCGCTAAAATGGACGTATTTGGCAGAACAGAAGAAAGTCATAGGTTAAGACAATTGCTAGCTCTTCATTCATTAATTAATAAAATACATGATAGTTATGGTAAGAAATTCGAAGAAATACAAAATGTATGCAATGACTTGAACAATAAAATACAAGTTGGTTATATTAAGAAATTTGAAAAAATACCAAGTGTTTGAAAAGACTTAAACAGTAAAATACATGAAATAAAATAAAAGTATATAAATTTGGATATTAAACTCTCTGCATATCAGTAACACTTGTTGCTACTTAGTAAAATAAATTAAGTGTTCTAATCCATGCACACTTAATTAAATAATAATAGCTATGAGCACCATATCAAAATGGTTGCTTAATATTTATTTATTATCTACAGTGAAACATAACATAATCATAAGTTCTCCTTATTAAATTGTGTATTAATATTTTGTAGCTGATCCATACAATTATTCAATTTGAGAATTCTAATTTAACTAAGATAAAAATTATTTTAATTAATCAGTGAAAAGATTAAAATCAATTTTAAAATTACATTATTTTAAATTTAGCAATGTAAAAATAGTATTTTAACATACTTTAATAATAAAGGTTATTGAAGTTTATTACGTCCAAAATGTTTTAAAATATCATATTATTAATATCATTTCATTTATAACACTATAGAGAATATGAGCAATAAATTGCCGTGAGCGATGACAATAGGGCGAACGCGAGATAAAAATAAATCGTCGTCCACCTTGAACCATATGAAAAAAAAGCAGGACGAAAAATGATGACAAACTTTCAGTAGTTTGAAAATAGTATAGCCGCCGTCAATCGGCTCGTTGTACTCATTGTACACTCTATGACCAAGACGTGTGCGCATATACAGTGCGTAAATACATTGTATGGGAAAGAAGAAATTTTTTTCTAAAAGTATCGTGTTTTAGATGTAATTTTTAAATACATTTGTCATTTTATTTATTCGGCGGTACAACGGTACTCTATTCGACGTATATACATCTACAAACGGTTGAATTTTTTTTTAATCTTACAATGTTAGCTGCGTAACACGTACATAAATTTCATTGCCCGTAATTTTTATTTAATCGAAAAATGTGTTTCAAAGCATCTGCCGTATATATTTGGCTTTTCGTTATCACCGCGGTTTTGTGGAATTTACAAAAAGTAAGTTTTCGTCATGTACCACCACCATTTGTTTTGTAATAGTTTTGAAAATTAATAGACGGTTTTTTTTTTTGGCAAACCAAAGGATCGTCGTTGTTGTTTGGCTCTGCCCGGAGGCACCAGGTTGGCCGTTCGGTACGACAGATTCGAATGGGTCATAAACAACAGGTTCGGACGCGTCGACGAAGTAAACGTCACTCAGTACAACGGCACCGATATCGCCAACGTGGCGATGACGTTAAACATCAATTGTACTGTGCAGAAAGCAAGAATTCTCTCGCACACGCGTTATACCGTACGCCCGTTGCTTAAAACGTTTTAATTTTACGTCCTCCTGATGGTTTTTAATAAGTATAGAAATAACGAAGTGCAAGGAACATTATGTGGATTGCGCCAACTACAGGAGTTTCGAACTCGAGCAGTTTTGCGGAAACGAAAAAGCCGTAATGTTTTTCACCACAATAGGATACGCCAATCGCGAGTTGTTGTGCACGACCTACAAAGTAAGACGCCTCCGAGATTCTATACACGCCGTTGAGAATTTAACTGAATTTTAAATGTTACATGTTAAATCTTTGAGGTGGAGACGAGAGAGCAAAATGAAATCGAAGGGTTTCCTTCTCGTCAGTCCGATTGATTCGATTCGGTTTAAAGGCGGCCTTTTTGTTTGTTTGTTCCATTTGCGCAGGGTACGTTCGTCATTAGAAACGCGACGTTGAACGTGGAACGCGTGATCGGAGCGTTCGCGCTGTCTTCGGACAGGTGGTGAGAAAAGACGTGTATGTAGAACTGCCCGTTCTTCTCGCACGACGGCCCGTACATCATGCGGTTGACCGGACAGCTCCGGTTTGTGTTGTTGAGCAGACGACGGCGGACGACGACACCTACTCCCTGACATCATTAGAGATAAAAAATTTTACCGATCAATTTGTTTTTATCGTACTTTACTGGTAATACAACAATGTCTATATTTGTGCGTTAACAATAATTAATAATTCAATGTACGATTGATAATTTTTTCAAATTGATCAAAACTAATAATAAATAAATTGTTTAAATTTCTTAGTATTTTTTTATTATTTTTTTTTTTTATTGCTTCTGCTGTTGTTCCTCGGATGACGAACGAAAAACGTGCGCACTGATGTTTACGAAAAAATCGTAAAATCGCATATCAAAATAAAAACGGTTTGATTCAATAAATTTCATCGTCTATCACTACGACTACCACAACTCTATACGAAATCGTCCAACCCGGTAACAGATTTTTCTGTAAAAAAAAAAACGTCTACTTTGTAATATTTTCTATAGTAACGGGGGCAATACGGTGACGTCAATTAAAGAAAAACGCGTTTCAGTGACTCGTTCTCTACGAGTAATCGAATAAAATTTAAAAACCGCGTAATTTGTTGTAGACGTGTTAAGGTTTCTTTTTTAAATACGCATTTAAAATACATTTTAATTAATGCCAGATTATGTGATGTATAAATGTATAGATTATATATAAATATTTATATAAAAATATGCGATTTTAATCACTGTACTAATCTAGAAAATGCGCCATAAACTCGCATCGCATTTGTTTTTTAATTTCCAATGAAATCAACAATAGATTTTATAAAGTAATCAAAATGTAATAACGCGACTCGGATTTATATAACAGAATATTATTTTTTTTAATAAAATCAACCGAAACCATGAATATATTTATAATTTGAAAGTAATACGTTCGAAAAAAAAAATCAATTAAAATTTGTCAAGCGGCTGTAATTTTAAACGTACTCATGGCATATATATAACACGACGGTGATTATACTGAATATACGAGCAATAAATTGCCCCGTGAAATACAATAGGGCATACACGAGAGTAAATTTGCCTTGAACATGCAAAAAATAAAATAACGAAAAATAATGACAAATTAATTTGCAGTCATTGCAAAGAGTACAATAATAATTGACTAGGAATTTATTCATTGCGCTAACGCTTTATAGCCAAGACGTATAAAGTTTAGAAACGAATGGACGAGAAAAAATTATTTTTGTAAAACATAATAGTTTATTCTATAGTAAAATAAAAGACAAATGCGTGTAAAACTTATATATTGGTTAGCGAAAAAAATGTCGAATCGCATACAATAGGAGATTTAGAGTCGATTTATACAGTTTAACAGTTTGATTTTTTTAATCCCGGTCGGGCAAAAATTTACCGCGTTCTGCGTGATTTTTACCAATCGAAAAATGTGTTTCAAAGCGTATTTATTTTTTTGGATTTTCGTTATAGCTATATTTCTATGGAATTTACAAAAAGTGAGTTTTCCTCCTACCTATTGTTTATAATAGTTTCGAAAATTAATAAATGGTTTTTTTTTCTAATTAAAGGACTATTGTTCGGCTTTACCCAGAGGCACTAGAATGGTTATTAGGTACGACAAATTCGAATGGGTCACAAACGACAAGTTCGGACGCGTCAACCAGGTTTACGTCAGTCAGTACAACGGCACCGATTTCGCCAATATAAACATGACGGTCGATGTCGATATCGTTCTGCACAAGGTGAGCGTTCTCGCCATGTCTCTCCTCCTACGACCGTACACGTTTTGATTTCCATTTACTGATTTCAGATGACCATGGACATGATAAGGTGCAAGGAGCACTACATAGACTGCGTGAACTACAGGAGTTTCGAGGTGGCGCAATTCTGCGGAAAAGAAAAAGCCATACTGTTTTTCATCAAAATGGGGTACATCAACCGCGAGTTGTTGTGCACGATCGACAAAGTAAGGCGATTTTACACCGCCGTTGACCCGTTAGCTAATAGTTTTAAATTAAAATTTGATTAAATCGTTAAGTTAGTTTTGTTTATAATTTTAATTTACTCGTTAGTTTTAATAATTCCGGCATAACGACGATGTTTTGTTTGTTTGTTACCCCCCCACACCGATAAAGGGACTGCTGGTGATAAAAAACGGGACGCTGAACGTGAACAACATAGTCGAGGCGTTTGCTCTCGCTCTGGACAAGTGGTGGGAGAGCACGTGGAAATGGGACTGTGTTTTTTTCTCTCGCGACGGACCTTACGTCGTGCATTTGACCGGACAGCTCCGATTTCTTCTGTTGAGCGGACGGAGGACTCGTAGACATTAGATAAAAAATGTTATCCATAAATTATTATTGTTGTTATTTGTATTTTGTTTTGTTGTATTACTAATGTATTTTTCTTTGTTTGCATAAACAATAATCAAATAAATTAATATACGATTGACAATTTTTTCGGATTGAATGAATAAATTTTAAAAATTTTAAAAGTTTAATTTTTTTGTTTCGACTGCTGCCGCTGGCTTATACGACGTTCGAGGCGTAATCCCATTCCAACCAAAACCAATCCCAATAGAACTGCCCGATTAACCGATGTTTTTGTGAAAAATATTTTTTAAAAATACGACATATTTATTTCGCCTCTCGTCTACGATAAGTCATTAGACCGCGTTCGTAAAATCCAGAACGATTCAATTGCGTCGGCACACAGTGGGGCAAATGACATCAAAAGTTGGCAAAAATAGCACTTATCGAATATAACTTATCATATCAAATTATTATATACACCAATAAAGGAGTTCATACTGCATTAGAAATCGGTTTCGTGCACGGATTGTGGCTTAAATTGATTTAGTTACAGCAGTTATAATATAAGTCCGCAGTGTATTACAGAATAAAATTAAACAGTATAATATTATTTTAAATTTTAGTTTTTTTCTATACCTAAGAGATTATTTGTTTATTTAATTAAATTTATCATGGAACCATTAGCAACAGATCAGTTACTTAACGTTTTATACATAAGTTTTACCGAGTTATACATAATATATACATAAATAACTAGTGATAATGACATATACGTCTCAATAAAATTATATTTAGTTTAAGTTCACTTCCAATTCTATCCAAGCTTTAAAAATTGCAAAATATAATACTCAATAGAGTATTCTATCACCTCGATAAAAAAATTTTGCCCATATTTGCCCCATTTCATATTAATAGCTTCTGACTGTGACGATATATAGCAATTTTACGGTAATAAAAATGTAAATTGCTTAATTTTTTTTCCAGAAGGTAGTTGGGTGGTCTAGTATAACTAATTATTTAAAATATTTTTAGGAAATGTACAGTATTTCCATTAGAGAACCAGGCGTAGATCCAAGGGGGGCCAAGGGGCTATAACCCCCCTCCCCACAGGTTAAATGTTTCTATTAGATTTTTATCTTTAAATGAACAGAATAATCGTGGTCGTCCAGTAGTTGCATTTGAAAAGAGTAGTGAACGAAACAAACGGAAAAAAACTCAAGAACTGAGAAATAAGACGCCTATTAATATTTTAAGTCATGCAACACAGATGAGCTTAAGGGCATCGGGACAAATTGAAGCAGCAAAATTACTGAAGGAAATAAATACATCCACTCTCACACGTACAAGTAAATATAGAAAAGTATTTATGCAGTCACAAGCACCTAAAAAACTATCGGGTAAAGATGCACTAGCTGTTATAGTAGATACTAAGCTATCTCGACATTAGTACAATATTATTCAGATGAGTGCCCTTGATAAATTTCCATCATACAAAGTCGTACAAGAAAGTAAAAAACAATTTTATCCGAAAACAAAAAATATACAAGTAACTTCTACACACGCAGAAGTTTCTTTACAAGCATTACTTGATCACACAGTAGAAAGATTATTTTTAGTGCAAAAGCCTGTTATTGACTTACTCCCAAAAAATGAATTGATTAAGTTTATTTTATATTCAAATTGGGGCTTTTATGGTAGCTCTGGACATTGTCCATATAAACAGGCTTTTTTTAGTCCTGGAGCCAGTAATTCAGCTGTATTTATTATAAGTTTAGTTCCACTTCGCTTGGTAAATGATAACCAAATTATATGGCAAAATCCACGTCCTGCATCAATATTGTAGGCCTATAAAAATTGAGTTAATAAAAGAATCTATGGAGATAACTATAGCTGAAAAAGAAAAAGTTCAGAGTCAAATAAATAAGTTAATTAATAGTACTGGGACTTTTGATAATAAATCATTTATTGTAACTCACAATTTGATTTTAGCAATGGTTGATGGAAAAATATGTAATGCACTAACAGATACGACATCAACACTTAAATATTTCTTGTGTGGTGCAACATCGAAAGAGTTTAATTTCATTGATGAAATGGTTAAACGAGAGGTAAAAACTGATAATTTATTTTTTGGGATATCAGTTTTACGTGGGTGGATTCGTTTTTTTCGATTGTCTCCTCCATTTGTCTTACAAATTACCACTCAAAAAATGGCAAGCTAGGAGATGTGGAAAAAAAATTATTTCAGGAAACAAACTTAGAATCCAAAAAGAATTCAAAGAAAAATTAGGATTATTTGTAGATAAACCCAAACCAGGATTTGGAAATTCTAATGATGGTAACACAGCTAGACGTTTTTTCAAAATTCAGAAATGTCTGCTGAAATTACAAAATGAGACATAGAATTAATAAAAAAAAACCATATAGTCATGATAGTAGTAGCTAGTGGATACGAAATAAAAACAGTGAGTTTTGAGAATACGTGTATAAAACTGCAAAATATTTTTTTGAGAAGTATCCGTGGTACAATATGTTACCCACAATGCACAAGTTTTTAATTATGGGCCAGAGATAATTGAATCTGCTTTATTGCCAATAGGACAGTTGAATGAAGAAGCCCAAGAAGCTCGAAATAAAGATTTTAAGAGATATCGGGAACATAACTCAAGGAAATGTTGTCGTGAAAAAACTTATTTAGATATATTAAATTTGTTTTTACTAAGTTCAGATCTAGTAATTTCAAGTAAAAGAAAACTGCCCAAGAAAAAAACACAATTAATGTCAATTGAAGCACTTGCATTACTAAAATCACCAGATGTCCGGGTCTCTCTTCAATATGTCAAAGATAGTGATGATGATTACGATGACGATAACCATGACTAATTTTAAAATTAAAACTTAAAATAATACATTTTGTTTNAAGTTTAGTTCCACTTCGCTTGGTAAATGATAACCAAATTATATGGCAAAATCCACGTCCTGCATCAATATTGTAGGCCTATAAAAATTGAGTTAATAAAAGAATCTATGGAGATAACTATAGCTGAAAAAGAAAAAGTTCAGAGTCAAATAAATAAGTTAATTAATAGTACTGGGACTTTTGATAATAAATCATTTATTGTAACTCACAATTTGATTTTAGCAATGGTTGATGGAAAAATATGTAATGCACTAACAGATACGACATCAACACTTAAATATTTCTTGTGTGGTGCAACATCGAAAGAGTTTAATTTCATTGATGAAATGGTTAAACGAGAGGTAAAAACTGATAATTTATTTTTTGGGATATCAGTTTTACGTGGGTGGATTCGTTTTTTTCGATTGTCTCCTCCATTTGTCTTACAAATTACCACTCAAAAAATGGCAAGCTAGGAGATGTGGAAAAAAAATTATTTCAGGAAACAAACTTAGAATCCAAAAAGAATTCAAAGAAAAATTAGGATTATTTGTAGATAAACCCAAACCAGGATTTGGAAATTCTAATGATGGTAACACAGCTAGACGTTTTTTCAAAATTCAGAAATGTCTGCTGAAATTACAAAATGAGACATAGAATTAATAAAAAAAAAACATATAGTCATGATAGTAGTAGCTAGTGGATACGAAATAAAAACAGTGAGTTTTGAGAATACGTGTATAAAACTGCAAAATATTTTTTTGAGAAGTATCCGTGGTACAATATGTTACCCACAATGCACAAGTTTTTAATTATGGGCCAGAGATAATTGAATCTGCTTTATTGCCAATAGGACAGTTGAATGAAGAAGCCCAAGAAGCTCGAAATAAAGATTTTAAGAGATATCGGGAACATAACTCAAGGAAATGTTGTCGTGAAAAAACTTATTTAGATATATTAAATTTGTTTTTACTAAGTTCAGATCTAGTAATTTCAAGTAAAAGAAAACTGCCCAAGAAAAAAACACAATTAATGTCAATTGAAGCACTTGCATTACTAAAATCACCAGATGTCCGGGTCTCTCTTCAATATGTCAAAGATAGTGATGATGATTACGATGACGATAACCATGACTAATTTTAAAATTAAAACTTAAAATAATACATTTTGTTTTTATTAATAAATTGAATAGCTATTTCTGTCAAAATGTCTTCACAATAAATAAATACCTTATGTTAATATTATGTAAATGACTTTTTATATGTTTGATGGACAAAGATAAAAATAATATTAATTTTAGGAATATATTTTTTGCTCTATGATTTAATACCAACTTTTAAAGCTCGTTGCCCGGAACACTTTCAAAAGTTAAGTTGAAAAAGTTAGTTTTTGTAAAAAAGTTGTAATTTTAAATCCCCCCCGTGAGCAGGTTAAGTATTAGATTTTCAAAAAAAATGATATCAAATGAAAGAATAATATCTAAGGTTTTAGTATAAAAAAAAATTATGTAGATTTGTTGATTTTTCAAAAAGTTATGGAAGTTTTAAGAAAAAAAAGTGAAAAAATTTCGAAAATTAGCGATTTTTAAATTTGTAATTTTTTTGGATATTTCTCCCATTTGCGTGGAACGAGGGAAATTTTTTCAATTTTTAAGGGTAATGTCTTCAACTAGATACGATTTGTGATCTTTTGACGTATTTTTGAAAGAAATCGGTCCAGTGAGAGCTGAGAAAAAGTGGCAACAGACATAAAAAAAAAAAAAAAAAAACAAATCATAGTAAAATTAATACCTTCTCCGCTTCGCATCGAAGCTAAAAAAATTTAATAAGTTTAATTTCTTATGTCTTATGAACTTTATTCTATGTCAATTAAATTATATAATATTCATGAAAGTCAGTGTATTGCCCTTATAAGATATTTTAAAATAAAATAAAATACAAAACCCAGAATTTTAATACAAAAATAGCATATTTTTTAATACGGTAGCCATTTGCAAATAGAAGATAGATCGTTGGAACATATTTTTTTTTTTAAATTTTATAGTACATGACATAAGCTTTAGTTTTATATATGTTGAAAGGACGCAGTTTTTCCGGAACACTTTCAAAAGTTAAGTTGAAAAAGTTAGTTTTTGTAAAAAAGTTGTAATTTTAAATCCCCCCCGTGAGCAGGTTAAGTATTAGATTTTCAAAAAAAATGATATCAAATGAAAGAATAATATCTAAGGTTTTAGTATAAAAAAAAATATGTTGATTTGTTGATTTTTGAAAAA